GCCACGACGTGGTCGTCTGCAGCCAGGAGCGCCCGTGAGGCGAGGTAGATGGCTTCTGCCGGCGCGCACACATTGACGTGCCTCTCGTCAATCGACTCTGTGGAGTACTTGGAGGCGATCTCACGCCGGAGCCACGGGCTGCCCTCGTTGTGCGAAGGGTAGCCGAGGGAGAGAGCTCGCCACCGCTCCGCCAGGTCGGCGTCTGCATGCAGCAGGAGCTCTGCGAGCGAGAGCGGCTCCGTCTCGGAGGAGGAGAGCGAGGCGGAGCCGTCCGTCCAGCCCGGGTAGCGCTCGACCTCGAAAGGCCGGAGCGCCAGCTCCGGGAGCGGCCGGGGAGTGAGCGAGGCGAGGCAGCGAGCACGAGAATTTGAGCAGTGAGCGAGGGCGAGCAGTCGTTGTGGAGCCGTGGAGCGCCGATGCGAGCGGCTGAGCATGCGAAGCTGGGGCCGGTCCCGTAGCCGAGAGAGCCCGCGCCGTGAGTTGGACGCGGTCGGGGGGGCTGCGGCCGGCTGCGGAGAGAACAAACAACACAACCCCCTCTCCTGCGGAGAGGCCACAGCGAGGTGGCGATCTAAGAACGAGGCCGAGGAGAGCGATGAGTCAGAGGATGAAACAGCAGGGGAGAGAACGAGGACGAGAGTGAGAAGAACGAGAGGTGGCATGAAGGTCGCTGCGAGAATTGGTGAGAAACTGCGAAGAGAGATAGGATGTGGTAGACGCCCGAGGGTGGGCGACGGCTAGCACCACACTCCTCTCCTTAAAATCCCTGTGTGGTGGCGGCGTGCCGTCCTCCCATCCCTCCCTTGGGATGTCTGTTTTCTTTCTTTCTTTCTTTACTAGGCACGGTAAAAAGCCCTGTGTGGTGGCGGCCTTCCGTTTTTTTTCCTGGACAATGTTTTTTCTTTTTTCACAGCCTTGTTATTGAGAAGAAAATACCTCTTATCGCGCTGTGCGCTGGTATGCACACACAAACACATACGTGTATATGTCAGCTCTAGCCCTCGCTCCCCTCGTCGTCCTGCACCCGAGGTCCGCATCCGCGCGGGCCTCGTGCCTCGCGATGGGCGCCTTTCCGGACGTGGCAGACGACCACTACGACGATGACGCCGCGGAGATCAAAGCAGCGATCCGTGCCGCCCTCTCCTCAGGCGACAGGACGGCAGTCGGCAGGCTGGTGGGGCAGCTGGAGAAGTGCAACCCGACCGAGCGGCCAGCCACGTCACCCCTGCTCGACGGCTGCTGGGAGACGCTCTACGCGAGCGACACGGCCGACTGGACGCGAGGCGCCGGGCGGGTCCGACACCTCATCGAGAGCTATTGCCCCGGACCCAACGCGTACGCCTCGGTCTTGCAGGCCGGGCCGCGCGGCAACCGCTGGGACGACGTGAGGGACGGGCGCGGTGCGTACGTGCAGCGAGCGCGCCACCGGTTCGGCTCGAGCGAGGTGCGGGCGACCTTCACTTGGCTCGGCGGCGAGGCGTGGGACATCGAGTACGTGAGCCGGGCGCGGCTGCTCCTCGGCATCCCCTTCTGGCGGAGGCGCATACGCGGGCAGGGCTCCCTCGACCTCGACCACGCCGTGCGGCCCACCTTCGTGGACGGCGGGCTGTGCGTCCTGCGCGTGCCCGCCATCTCCGCGGCCGGGACGCTGCTGCGGCAGGAGCGCTTCTACCTGCTGCAGCGGATCCGGCACCGGCTCTGGCAGGACGGCTCCTTCGTCGGCCTGTCGGACGCGCCGCTGATGGGCTTCGACTTGGACCCTTGAGGCGGGAAGAGAGGGGGAGGGAGGACAGAGAGATTGTACATGAACACTATTCACTTGCAGAGAGATTTTACATGAACACTTGAGGCTACCCGTGTCGCACCTCTGCATGTGACCCCGCAAGGCTACCCCTGTCGCGCCTCTGCATGTGACCCGCAGGCGCCGCAGACGTGTGAAAACAAAAAATACAAAAAGAGCTCTGGATGTGTGCATGAGCATAAGGTGTGTGTGCGGAGATGTGCGCGGCTGCTAACTGCACTCCAACCGGTGCTCCAAGAGCGAGCTTTCCCACCCGGCGCCCGGCTGTGAGACCCTTGCCGTCCTGCACCCCCGCGCTGGTCCAGGTGCAGGTGGCGTCCACCACGCCCCACCGCCCCCTCCTCTCTGTCTCACCACAGCCCGAGGGCAGCCAGCACCGTCTTTGGGAAGCAGATGAAGAAGTGCTGGTCGAGGTGGCGGTCGAGGAGAGCCATCTTTCTCTTCCAGGCGCCCTGCCGCGAGAAGAGGCAGGTCGTCATCACGACGCCACCGCCCGCCCTCGCCCCGGAGCGGTCGCCCTGCGTGCCCAGGTCGGGCAGGTAGGGCGAAAGGACGGTATTCGCGTAGTCCCGAATGGCGATCTGGACCATCTGGTTCACTCCCGCCTGCAGGATCACCTCGAGGAGACATATGTGCCACGGCGTCGACTCGATGTACGCCGGGAACGGCAGCTCCGCCAGCGGGCTGAGCGAGATGGCCATCGCCGCGTAGATCATTGTGTACATCCCACCCTCGATGAGATCCAAGAGGTAGGTGCGGGCCCTCTTTAAGACCTGTGTCCGCCGCTGCCGCTCGAGGCCGAACCGTCCCGCCCAAGTCCCGCCGCGACCGAGGCCGGTCGGCATCGCCAGCACGAACGCCAAGGTCACGACCGCAAAAGCAACGTACTCAGGCGTGTCGGGCTGAGCTGTCGACGAGGATCCGTCCACGGATTTCTTGAACATCATGAGCACGAAGGTAAACGCTCCAGGCAGCCGTCGGCGGCGGCAGCGCCAGCTGTCTGATATGAGTTCGGTGTGAACAGAGGTCTAATCCCAGTAAACTACAAGTGCACATGTGCATGTGCCTCAAGAGTCGGCTGGAGCTGTACCCGACACACAGCAGGGTTTTCAAAAAAACAAAATGATTGTGCAAAAACTTCTTAAACAAAACTGTCGTGCTAAAAAATCCAGAAGAGGAGTAGGAAGGCGGGGGAATCCAAAAAACCCGTCCAAAAAGCCACAAAAAGCCAGCGAGTCTCCCGTCACGCGATTGCTCGCGAAGCGCGCATGATGCGTGGCCAGCGTGGGAGGTTGCCGCCGCTGAGCGCTGTCAGAGGAGGCCGCCGCTGTCAGGTCTCGAGGGCCGGCCGGCCGGGCGAGCATCCGCGCTGCCGACGACGTGCTCGAGACTGGCCTTCTGACGACGAGATTCTCGCATGCTTTGAGGAGGCGCTCGGCGAACGGCTGCCAGAGATGGGCACAGATGCTGCAGCAGGGCGAGAGGCTGCTCTGGGCCGGCGCGGGGGCCCCAGAGGGTGTCCATGCGGGGGGGGAGATGGGGTCCCATGGCCCGCCGCAGGCGCCGTTTTTTTGGATTTTTTTGGCGATTTTTTACTTCTTTTCATGGGAACTCGGCGTACTTGCGGCCATGCTATCACGCCTTGCGACAGCCTGTCGGCGCTGCTGACCGTGCCATGATGCACAATTGATCACCTGCATAGCTCGCGGCCTTAGTATCAAGCATTCAGTGACGACCTGATCGTACGGCCAGTAGGAAGGTGTCCTTCCAGCTGCGTGCACGCTTCTGACGCAATGCGCGTCGCCTCGGATTGGCTGCTGGCACTCTCGAGGCTATGCCTACGCAGCCTCGCGCGCATGGGCAGTCAAGAGGGACCACGCACCTTCTCAGGACAGCGCCGGTGCCTCTCTCTTGGACCGGCAAACGTGGTGGTCTCGTGTCACCGATGTGGGACCAGTGCGGCATCGCGCCATCGACAGCTCTGAACTGCGCCTCACCACTGACCGGGAAGGCCGCCAAGTGGGCCAGCACAGGTCGCACATTGTGGCAGCAGTCAGCAGATGCATGTCTGATAGCTAGAGCAGCAGCGTCAGGGTCGCAGGGTGATCGTGTCAAGCCTCTCGCCCGGCCGGCCGCGTGCAGACGGTCGGCCTGTCTTCTGCCTGTCTTCTGTCTGGAGTGATCTGTCGGCGGTCAGTACGACCGATCAGGTCGGAGTTTCTGATGGTTGGAGGGTCTATCTGTATGTACTCCTCGAGATCTCTCCAAATCTGCCCTCTGATTAACCTAGCTTAATCGGGAAGTTGGTGCTAACGGAGACTAACGGAGCCGGGGCCCCGTTTCCGCTCTGCTGCGCGGCGCACGGTGCCTCCGGGGGCCCCCGCGCCCCCCCAGAGGCGAGAGGCGAACACCGAGAGTGCGGAGGCAGCACCGCGACTGGAGGCTGCAGCAGAGCTGCAGCGGGAACATTCCCTGCTTGCACCGACCGCGGGGCGCGGCGTTGAGCCGGTGCTGCCAGACCCTTCGTTCGAATTCCGGTGGAGGGCGCAGACGAATTCGCGCTGATAGATCGTGCGAGCCAGATGCCGGCGCCGGTCAGCAGATCGGGTCGGCACAGCTGCGAGCATTCTCGCGCGGCGCAGCGAGGCTGCTAAAAGGTGCGTGATGAAATCGACATCGGAGCTAGCTCAAAAAAATAAGTGCGCGGGATGTCTGTGGCCCGAGAGCGATATGCCATGCGACCTTGCGTTTGTTTCAGCCGTGTCGGTGGAAACACACCGGCCAGGAGCGGGAGCGCCAGAGAGAAGGCAAAAGGCATGACAAGCAAAGACTCTCTCTAACGCCGCGGTCAAAAGAGACCGACGGACCTTGAATTTCGGCGGAGGCCGAAATTCACACTAGACTGTGAACACACCCACAGGACGCCAAGTACAAGACAATAGGAAGGGAGTGTACTCAGGCAGTCAGGGACGGATGAGTCAGAACATACTAAGAGCACCTAAAGGAGCAAGGCCGGGCATAAGCTGTGAAGTGGTGTCTGCACTCTCCAGCCGGAAACTCTTGTCGGCAGATACCGCCAGCGATCATGACGTACGGCGAGGAGTCGGGTGGTTCGTCTACTCTGCCTGGCGGCAACATTGTCGCGCCGGCGCGCCGGCGGCGCTGCGCCCACCCGCGGCCGAGCCGACAGTGGGCGGAGATGGAGCGCGAAGCGCTGGCGCGGCTCATCCTCGACCAGCTGCCACGATTCCGGTCGCGGCTGTACCTAGCCGACGCGGAGGCGCTCGCCCAGCTGCTGCGACGGTCGCCGATGGCGGAGGTAATGTCGGGCGACTACGCGTGGTCGCTCTGTTTCGAGCCCGCGTTTGTTGCTTCGCTGTGCTGGGAGGGCTTCCTTCCGATCTGCAGCGAGCTGGGCGGCAACGGCGCGCCCGGACTATTCGTGCTGATGCCCAAGCTACACACACACCGTTGCGTGCTCGAGCCGTCGGCCATGCACATCCCTCGCAAGGTGCGCAAGCGCGCCTCTGCATATCGGCTCACCGTCGGGCAAGCCTTTGAAGCGGTGGTCGACGGGTGCGCGGCGCAGCACCGGCCATCTTGGCTCTTCCCGCCGCTGCGCGCCGCCCTCTCCGCCCTCTCCGCCCCCTCCTCCCTCCGCGGCGTCGGCGGCGCCACCCCGTGCTTCGTCACCTTTGAGCTGTGGACCCGGCCTCCCGACGGGTGCACCGAGCCGGCGCAGCTGGTCGCCGGCGACCTCGGCTGCGTCGTCGGTCGGAGCTACACGTCCTTCTCGGGCTTCCACACGGCGAGCGGCTCCGGGTCGGTGCAGCTCGCCCTCACCGGCGCCTTGCTCCAGCGCGCCGGCTTCGGCTGGTGGGACCTCGGCCAGGAGCACGGCTACAAGAGCGGGCTCGGGGCGGCCGCCGTGCCGCGCTCTCAATTCTTGCGAACCTTCCGGCGGCTGCGCGCCGAGCGGAACCGGCTTGCCGAGGTCGTGGGGCCCGGTGGCGACGCGTCCGAGGCGAGCGCCCTCCCTCCTCGCGCGTCGGCGGAAGCTGCCGCAGCAGCCGCGGCGGCCGACGGTAAAGCGCCTTGAGTCGGGCGCCGGCTTGACTTCGGTCGGAGCCGCCAAGATCGCACAATCTCTGGACAGCCATGTCTGTGTGTGATTGGCACGGCAGGAAGGGTGCGGGTGAGGGGTGCGTGACCGTGAGGACGCGGCCCTGGGGTGTGCGTGGCGTGCCAGGTGAGCGCAGGAGATGAGCGGAAGCAGCGAAGTATGAGCGATGCAGGGGGGCTTAAAGGTTGTAGCAAGGGGTGCGGGGTGTGGAGTGCGTGCGGCGACCGACTTTTTGATTCAGGTATAGCCCCTCACCCACCCATCCATCCACCGCTTTGGTTTATCGCGGCGGGGGGCGCCCGCCGCCCACCCCGCACCCGGGCGCCCCCCACTGTTTTTTCTTGTTTTTGATATAGCTTTTATTATATAGGGCGTCCGGGGGGGGGTGGAGAGGGGGGGGGTGGGGGGGGCGACACGAGCAGTACGAGATCTATACTTAATTAGCCAGAGACCACACGCGCAAAAAAAGATACGAAAACATGCGTGAGGCGTAGGCCCGACCGGAAACTATTGGACGGCCACGACGCGCGTCCGCGATCGGTTCTTCCATCTCCCCTCCCCCCAGTACCTCACACTCGCTCCTCGCATGCCTTCCCCTCGATCCCATAGGTCAGGAGAAGTTAGCAGTCACATCTTCTTGAGGGCTGCGTTGTGCACCTCCAGCCTGCGGTTCGCCTCCACCAGCGACTCAAGCCGCGCCTCCGCCCGCACCGCTCGCACCTGCACCGGGGGAGGGCTGGGGCGAGTCGGTTGGAGCTGCCCATGCGCCACAGCTGGAGAGGCTGCACGCCTCCATCTGCTGAGCCTCTGAGAGAGCCTCGGTGAGCTTGAGCTGTGCGTTGCTCGTGCGCTCCCGCTCCGCCCGGAGCTGATCGATCATTACCCCCAGCACGACATTGTCTGGCGCCTTGCCGCCCGCAGAGAGCCTCCCCGCGGCAGCCTCGAGCATCTCGGCCTTGGCGTTCGACACGTCGGGACCCCAGCCAAGACTCCTCGATTTGGTCGTGGGCGGGGTCATTGCGTCTGGATCCGGCTTGCTCGCCCGCGAGCCGCTCGACCTGCGATTGCTTGGAGGCCCCCACTCCTCCTCCGCCTTGTACTCGTCCTCCTTTGCGCCAATCAGGCTGATCACGCTCTTGTACTCAGTCTTTTTCAGATCGCCCTCCTACGCGCGGCGGTGGTTGGCAGATTTGCGGTTTGCGATTGCGATGTGTGTGCTCCCGCGCTTCTCCCTTTCCCCTTAGCTCGCCTGAAGCTCAATAGGCCGGTTGTTGTTGTCCACCCTCCTCCCGTTGATCGAACGGCGCGGCGCCTCCTTGGCCTGCTGCGCGGCATCGATTGCGTACTTTGCCGCGTGCATCTCGTCGGTCTCCACATTCGGCTCGAGGAGCCTCGCGATGGCAGCCATTAGTTGCCGACCGATCCGGCGGTCGGCCGTCCTCCTCGCAACGAGTGTGAAGTGCGCGCGGGCCTTCTAGGCCTGCGGGCGTAGTCTCCCCCCCATCCCCAGGGCTTCCAGGGCTCGCACTCAACCTCTCATCTTCTCAATTAACAAGGTCTTCTCCCTTCTCGACTGTCTGAGTACTGAGAGAGAGAGAGAGAGACTGTCGACTGTCTGTGCTTGTGCGTCTTGGCACTTGGGTCCGGGATTGTGTTGTTTTTGTGTGAACATCTCTTCTTCTGGATGTGAGCTTCTTGTTTTATTTCCCCCCTGTCTGTGAAACTCAGATGGTGGCCAGATGGTGGCCTGTCTATTAAAATTAATAGCCGATCTTTCTTTCTCTGTTCTCGACTTTTTCCTCCACCTTCTTTTCAAGTTGTAAAATACGGCTTACGGGAAAGTTCGTAACACGCAAGAACTGGAATGTACGTAAGAGCCACGTACATGTACAACTAAAATGGTTAGTGGTGCACTAAGCTCCGAGAAACTATGGAGGACCCGTCACCAGACGACGCAGGGCAGACGACGGTGAGGCGGAGCAGTCGCGCAGGGCGAGACGAGGGAGGGAGCAGGACGTTGCGGAGATCAGCAGGAGGATGTACGAAGAGATTAGGCGCAAGCCGAAGGTGACGGGGCGATAGGCCATGAGATCTGAAGCTCACCCAAGCCATTGACGAAGTGAGAACTGCTCGACCCCCCCGGATCATGCTGAACAAGCTCCTCTTGTAGCTCGATCGGTCACACCGCCATCGCCGTCGGGGAGAGAGGGGACGACACTGCTCTGGCAGCGTGCACCTCGGCTCGATCCTGTGTACCGTGTTTGTTATGACCCCCCCCAATGAACACACCAGCGAGGGAGGGCGAGACGATCGAGGGGTCCCGTACCATGCGCAATCGACCCTATCAAGTGCTCAAGCTACAAGCAGCAGGGACCCGAGGGACCATGTGGAAAGTGCTAGTCCCCCATCGGGAGGACGACCCCGGCTAGTCGCCGACCACACCCACAAAAAGAACCCTGCACAGAGATCGCACAAGGGCGGGGACCTGTTCCTTTTTTCCCATCTCACAGTAGAGGTGTCCGTTTTTATTTATTTATTTATCCGAGAAACCCTTCGAGTCGCTCCTCATCGCAAACCCTGTCAGCAGAGTGCGGAGTTCAAATTCTTTTGTTCAAGCCCTGAGAGAGCGGCCGAAAAGACCGCTTGCCTGGGTTCCGGCTCCTACCCGGATAGGGGGTCTGTCGCCCTGACTCGCGCCCTACCTACCTACCTATCCCCAGGCCGCGCAGCGACGCGAAAAAAGATGAAATAGGGGGTAACCTACCTATTGCAGGGCCCTTTTGGGCGAAACAAGACCAACCTACCTACCTATCTGGGAGGGGCCAGCCAGTGGCGACAGACCCCCTACCCGGGTGGAGCCGGAACCCTGTGGGGGAGGAGGACAGGGTCCACACCTGCACGAGCAGGACAAGAATAAATAAATAAATAAAACGGACATCCCAAGCTAGGGCTGGGTCGAGGACAGACAGACACGTCCCCACCTTTGCAGGATTTTGCAAAAGCGAGGGGGGAGGGCGCATCGCCGCGCGGAGAGGGCTGGGACAAGAAGAAAGAAAGAAAACAGAAAACCCAAGGGGCTGGGACAAGACGCTTGGCATTTCAAATTCTTTTGTCAAGCCTGCTGGCTGACGCCCAAAAAGCTGGCGAGTACAGACCACGCCTCACTTTTTCGCTGCGCATGCTCGAGCCCGCGGCGAGGGCTTGTGCTGTGAATAGCAGGCGTAGCCGTACTCGCCAGCCCAAAAAGCCTGTCGGGACCCGAGTCCGCGAGGAGATCGTCGATGCGGTGGTCGAAGCGGTGGAAGCCGTGCACGGATCGACTGGCTCTCGCTCTTCTGTTTGCTAACGCAGGCGCAGCCCTGCTCCAGCCGCAGCGCGTAGCGGTGGTCACCGGTGCCTCTCGCGGGATCGGCAAGGGCATCGCTGTGGAGCTTGGGCGCGAGGGCTACGCCGTCGTGTGTGTCGGCAGGAGCTCCAGGACGGATGCTGGCCCGACGACAGAGCGACCGACGGCCGAGGCCGACCTCACCGTCGAGGCAACTGCCGAGGCGGTGACGGCGGCAGGAGGTCGTGGTCGGGCGCTGCCGTGCGATCTCGGCCAAGATGGCGCAGTCGATGCGATCATGGACGAGGTGGCGCAAAGTGAAGGGCGGCTCGACGTCCTCGTCAGCTCAGCGTACACTACGCCGCCCGGCCGGCTCCGCGGCCCCTTCTGGGAGCAGCCGATGGCAATGTGGGACAGCTGCAATGGCGTTGGCCTGAGGGGCGCCTATGCAACATGTCGAGCGGCGGCGCCTCACATGATCCGGACGGCAGCAGCGGCGGGCGAGGCACCGCTCATCTGCCTCGTGTCGTCCTTTGGTGGCAAGGCGTACACGTTCAACGTGGCGTACGGAGTGGGTAAGGCGGCCGTAGATCGGCTCGCCTCCGACATGGCCTTCCAGCTGAAGCCGCACGGCGTCGCCTCCATCTCGCTCTATCCGGGTGTCGTGAAGACGGAGGGGAACCTGGAGATGGAGCGGCGAGGAGAGTGGGCCGAGGCGAGCGGTGGGCTCGATCTCGAGGCTGGCGAGTCGCCAGCCTTCTCGGGGCGGGCCGTTGCCGCGCTCGCGCGGCTGGACTCCGAGGCGATGCTGGCGAGGTCAGGCCGGGTGGAGGTGGTCGCGGAGCTGGCGCGCGAGCTCGGGTTCTCTGACATCGACGGCTCACGCCCGCCCTCGATTCGCAGCCTCGCGTACCTCTGCCCCAACTTCGTCTTCCCGTCGATCGAAGCCGGCGGCGGCACCGTCCCTCGATGGGTGAGGGACAATGTCCCCGACATCAACCTGCCTTGGTCCATCTTTGCGTCGCCACCACCGGAGCGCGACGCCTCACCCAGGAGCGAGGGTGCCCGAAGCGTCATCTAGTTTGTGCATGCATGTGCATGTGCATGTAGGATGTGGCATGTGCATGCATTTGTGCATGGTGGACGACATATGTGCCTACTCGGTGACTTTTTATCACATTGCATTCCACTAGAGCGTCCAAAACTGATCCAAAAAGGCGCCCAGCGCGACGGCGCAAGTTTGTTCGGTGAGGAGCAGGACGAGGAGGCCACCAGCCGCGAGCTGGCAGCCGCTAAGCTTGCGCCCGTCCCTCCTCCCTCTGAGGGCCCAGCTTGTGCTTCGGCAGCAAGCCAGAGCGAGCAACAAGCAGAATGCCAGTCCGAGCCGAGCATCAAAGTAGGCGGATCGGCGCATCGCCTCGAAGTCCGGCTCCTCGTGAAGGTTGTGCAACAAGGTTGCGATGTCCTCGGGAGCTGCCTGAACGCTGAAACGGGCAGCGGCAGCGAGCATCTTCTGCCGCGAGAGGTGGCGTGTGGCCTGCTCGCCGAAACGATCGTCGGCCCACCGCGCAAAGGCGCCCTGTCCGGCCCTGCAGGCTCGGAAGGCGTCGAGGTTGCCGCCTGCGGCCACTACGTCGCGCACGCGCTGGTAGTGGCGTCGCATCCCCGGCATATTGCTCTCATGCATGAGCGAGGCCTGACCGCCGTTCAGCTCGCCCAGCATTACGGAGCCGGTTGCGATCGTCAGCGGCATCGCCGAGTCTCGCAGCGCCTCTGCGAGGCCGACTGTCTCGAGGAACTCTAAGGGGCTGCTGTAGTTGAGCAGCGCCAGCAAACACGCCTTGGTGCCCTCCTCGTCGAGCACCCAAGGAATTCTCGTGGCTGAGAAGAAGTCTGTGGTCGAGTCAAAGGGCCGCGGCACGGTGTACTCGCTGAGGCAGCGCAGGTCGAGGCTCACGCGGATCTTCTCGGCAGTGCCGAAGCCAGAGTCAGAGTGGGCGCGCCAGTTGTTGAAAAGGAGAGCCTGGCCCGGCTTGAGCCGCCAGTGAGTGCCTCGCCCGGCGTACGTCGCGTTGGCGCACGACCGCTCGCGCCAATAGAGCGACGTTAGGTAGTCCATTGCGACGCGCCGTTCGTGCAATTTCGCGGCGAGGGTGATGCGGGGCAGTGGCAGATCAAAGCGTTGCAGCATGAAGGCGAGCTGCGCGAGGCGCCACTGCTCCGCGCTCATCGAGTGCGAGGGCGACGACCATGCTCGCTGCAGCTCTGAGATGACGTAATCGACGTTGAACGTCTCGGGAGGGTGACCGTCGAAGACGGTGAACGGCGCAGAGTCGGTGGATGTCGGCGTCAGGGCTGTGTGGAAAGACATGTGAAAGGCGGGCGAGAACCAGCCGAGCTTGCCAAACGGTGCATACTCCGCGCCCGGCGTGCTCGCGTGGTGCAAACCGTAGCTGGACCCAAGCTGCCCTGGCGGAACGGTAAAGACATTGCAATAGCATGTGTGGACTTCCGGGAAGAGCTTTTTCACGGTGCGCCGGTTCAAGTGCATGAAGTCGACACATGCAGGCACGATGAACTGCGAGTTCTCAAAGGAGAGGCTCATCGGGTTGTAGCCAAATTTGCTCGAGTGCTTTGACAGTCTCTTTTCAACCTCCATCTTTAGGAGTGCCTCTTCGAACGCCTGCTTCTGCAGCCATGGCGGCATCACCATCTCCACAACCCGGGTCGGAATGTGCTGCTCCCGCGGCCGGACGTGATATGGGCGCACCTCTCCCGGAGTGGACAGGAGCGCCGCCACGTGTATACCTACCTGCGTCATATTGATGCCAAGACCGCGAATTTGCGCGTTAGCCTGGTACCTTCCCTCGGCAATCTCCCGGAACAGCACCTCAAGCCGGGACACTTGATCGTGTGCTGCATCACACAGGCTGCGTGCCTCTTCGCGCGGTGCGTCATTGACGAGCGTCCCTTGCTTCCGCATGCCGCCTTGTATCCGATCAAACAGCTGCACCCTGGGCGCAACGCGCACGCGACGCAGAGACGCCAAACCAGGCCGTGAGTATGGCGAGTGGATTCCGGGAACTTTGATGCCTAGGTGTGCTTCCAGCCATTCTTGTTGGACAGGTTTGCCCGGGGGCCAAAACACCCAAGGGTGGTGCGGACTTGCTAATGTTTTCCTTTGGAGCGGTCGATGCCTCGCCTAGAGTTCGGGTGGACTTGCGCACTGCTTAGCCCTGAGGGGGCTGAGCTGCCGAACGAATCCTCCCGGCTAATCCCCTGACCTGCCGCCTGAAACGGGACAACATTACACCACCTCACACTCACTCCCCCCTCAGGGCTAAGCAGTGCGCAAGTCCACCCGAACTCTAGGCGAGGCATCGACCGCTCCTTTGGAATAGTGGTTAGTGCCGTCAGTGGCTGCACTAGACGCCCATTTAGATCCGCGCGCGGCGCGGGCGGATGACTAGGGGAGAGAATGCGGAGAGACTAGCTCGCAGGTAGATGTGCTCAGCCAAGGGCAAGGGATGAGGGGAATGTGTCAGTGTGAGGGGTGCACCAACCGCAGAGCGTCATGTTTTGCCTTTGAAAACTGAACAGTTTTTTCTTTTTGAGAGCGCCTTCGTTGTTAATAGTACAAACCTTTCTTTTTTGGAACAATTTTTTAATCGTAATCCTGGAATCCTGGTTCCTGCAAATAGGGAGCGCAAATGCACCAAGGTGGCTACGCCTCATCCCGTCCTGCAAAGGGAGGTGACAGGCGTGAGGAGTTTGTGAGTTATGAACAGACGAGAAGGCTAGTGCGCTATGAACAGAGAGTGAGTGCGCTGGTGAGAAAAGTGCCCGGGAACGCCTGCACACCTCTCTCGCGGGGTTCACCGGATGCTCCCCCCCCCCCCCCCTCTCAGATGTACGTAGTCATCGTGTTGATGAAGTTCAGCTTGACCGCATCCACTTTCGGGTAGTAGTATGTCGGCTGCACCCCGGTTGTGCTCGGCTCCTCGACGTAGTCGGCGAGCATCTTGGTGCGGATCGCGTTGGCCTCCACTGAAAAGGCCTTCGCGGCTTCGGCAAAGATGCTCCGCGAGTTGACATGGGCGATGTCGGCAAACTGTCGCGAGCGGTGGGATGCGGGGGGTGAGGGGAAGGGCACGCGAGGCATGCTCAAAGCTAGAGTGCGCGCGGTTCGCGCCTGCAAGCGCTCGTCGAACTCGTTCGTGGTGCCATACACGATGCCCATGGCGAAGGTCTGGGCCGCGTCGAACTCGGTCGGGAGCACGCGCGTGCCGCGAGACGAGACCAGAGGCGTGTAGCCAATCTTGGTGAGGAGCGATTGCGAGTGGAAGGCGCCGCCAGCCACACATGCGCATGCGAGCGTCGCCCCGAAGCTCGTGGCGAGGGCGTCGTAGACGCCGCCATCAGCGAGGCGCTGGTAGGCGCTGGCCAGCTGCATCTCGATCGCCTCTCGCTCGTTGCTCGACGCCGCGGCTTTGTCCACCGCGGCTCCGAAAGCGAACGACGCCGCGATCTCCTCCCGCACGCCCGGCACGAATAGCGACGCGTGCTCCTTGGGCGCGCCAGCCGGTAGGACGAAGCCGGACATGTAGGCCTCGGTGCCGCCTGCCGTCGCTGCGGCGAGCTCGGCAACAATCGTCGCGGCAGTCGCTTGGACGCCGCTCGAGCTGGTCACACAAAAGACCGAGGTGGCGGCCTCGCCGGTGCCAGAGAGGAAGCCGTTGTCGCCGCTCCAGAGCAGGACGCGGACCTCGGCGACTTTGAAGAAGACATTGGCCGATAGCGCCTGCACCAACGGTACCAGGCCGGACGCGAGCGAGTTGGTGCAGCGCCCGACGCAGCGCCAGCCAAACGCCACGGGCAAGGACATCATCATCGCGCTAGCGGTAGTCGCGGTCATCCAGTGCATCGCGGCATGAAGGTTCTGGAAGCAAAAGTAGGAGGCGGTGACGGCGGCGGTGAGAACCTGCTGCCAGCGGCTGCCGGCGGCGGCCGCGATCGTCTCGGTCACCGTGCCATCCTCGATGATCTCGGCCGACGACGGAAGCAGCGACAGCCGCGAGCCGACAACGCAGGCGCGGAAAGAGAGGCGCAGGTGCATGTACTTTGTCGGATCGAGAAGCTTGAGGAGCGACCTCGCCCAGTCCGGCTGGCTGGCGGCGTTCCCAGTGGTGTCAAGCACGTACTCTTGCGGGCCGGTGTCGTACTCCAAGAGCCGCGCGAAGAGCGTCGTCGAGTAGAGCTCGCCGACGAGCCGATCGGTCGGGAAGTCGGCGCCGTAGCCCCAGATGATCTCCTTCCCCAGACGCGCAGCCTCTTCTTGCGGTAGCTTGAGGCTGTGCTCGATGACCGAATTCTGCGCCGTGACGAAGGTGCTGGGCGCCCACGGCTGGCCCACGAGCCGGTGCAGGCTTAGTGCTCCGATGATGGTGTTGATGTTCTCCTTGAAGTTGTATGACGCGAGCCCGTAGTCGAGCTCGAAAAAGTTGCCGACGGCCTTGACGTTCACGTCGCGCGGCAGGTAGAGGCCTGGGAGTTCTGTGGGCGAGACCGCATCAGCGAGCGCCGTCCGCAGGCCCGCGCACGACAGGCACCGGTCCAAGCTCACAGCGCACGACTTGGTGGCGTCAGCGCACGACTTGGTGGCGTCAGCGCAAGACTTGGTGACGGAGCCGAGGCATGTTGTCGCGCTCTCGCCCTCACCCTGGTCCTCCGTTGAGATGGAGCTGACGTTTTGTCCGTGCTTGGCGCGCGCGTCCGAGATGTAGCGTTGCGTGGGAGGCGGGAGGGCAGGGCGGGAAAGCATGTGGATGTAAGGGTATCTCGGAGAACAGTGAGGACGACTGTGCGGTAGCGAAAGGCAGCGCGGGCAGCCTCCAGACCATTTGAGCACACGGCCACCCGCCATAAAAACTATCTCGGTGGAGTGCTCTCTCTCTACTCCCCTTGCCAAAGACGCCAGCAAGCTCGCCTTCCCTGCCTGCGGCCGCGGGCGTGCGGCGGGCACGCCAGGCTCGGCGAAGCTCGGCGCGGGTCTTCGAGCTCGCCGCCGGCGACGAGCCAGCATGGCTCGTCGCTCGACGGGAGCCTGTCCAGTATGCTCTGGGCATGCTGTACAGCATCGCCAACTCTCTGGGAGGGTCTACAGGGACAGGGCGGGCCGTCTCGGGCACGATGGCGCGCTCAATATAGTACCACGACTACCAGCTCTCCGATCGGGCCGCCGACAGCGGGCTTGCGCAGCGCGCCGCTCGACGGCAGGCTGCTCCCCACCCTTCCAACAGCATCTGATGCCTCGCTTCTCTCGCTGCGACCGCATCCGGGGGCCTGCGCCGACCGCCTCGCTTCGCCAGCGCTGCCTATGACTGCGGCACGCACGTCGGCTCGCCGCCCGCGTCGCCCGCGGCGGGCCCGCATAGCACGCCGCTCGTCGGGGGAGTGCCAAGGAGGTTGTGGAGTACAGGCTGCCTCGCTCAGACCGAGTCCGACGCGGCGGGGGGCCGCGGTCGGCGCTGCTGCGGGGCTCCTGCGCTGTGGGCTTCACCATCGTGTCCTGACTGCGTCGCCGACGCCACTTGCCGCTCGCCGCTGCCTTGCACTTCCCTGCCGTCAGGCAAACACACACACACACACACACACACACACACACACACACACACACACACACATTATTAATAATCGGGTAATAATTATTAATTATTAATCCTCGAGCGGCGGAGCGGCGCGGCGGCGGGCGGCGCGAGGCGGCGGCGCGGCGAGGCAGCGGGCGGCGCAGGGCGGGGCGGCGCGGCGGCGGGTGGGGTAATTAATTATTTGTTAATTAATTATTAATTAATAATCATCGGGCGGCGGCGCGGCGCGGCGGCGCGGCGGGGCGGAGCGGGGCGGCGAGACCATCTGCAGTTACCGGGCCTCTGGTCATTGGAGAGCGGCAATGGTCGCGCCGCCCTCGACTCAAGGGGCTGCCTTCCAACCGTCGCTGCTCAGGCCGGGGGAGGGGGAGAGGCCTCCTGTTCCTCGCGGAACGTGCGCGGGCCGACCCCTTGCCCGGTCTGCGATGCAGGGCGGTGGTCGTGCCATCTTCGCTTCGTACTCGAAACCACCACGCCGCAACCGTCGCCGGCGCCGCGGCGCGCGACACGTTCCCGTAGGCCGGACTGTCCTCGACGAGAGTGTGTGCCGCCAAGGCGGGACACACTCAGGGGCAGTGCCGACGGGACGCGGCTCGAAGGGTGTGGCTCCGCAGCGCGGCTGGCACTCGTCGCAGAGGCCTCACCTTCGAAAAGTCGGGCATGGCTCTCCCGGGGCCCGCAACTTTCTCGCTAACACGCGCGCACCGCCGAGCCTGCGGCGGGCGCGCTGCGGCCGCACGTCTAACTTCGTCATAGTGCCACGACGTGCGGCCTAGATTTAGCCCACGCGCCTCTGCTCGCAAACACTCACCCATTGAATTGTCACTGCCCGTGAGTGCGAGATAGGGCTAGCAGTAGGCAGCTAGCCTCTGAGGAGGGCGTCCATAGACACCTCACTAGACCCCACACACGGTCTCGTCCGTGCCTCGCCGGCCGGCGAGATTGCTAGAGGTGGAGCGCATGCTGCTCTAGCCTCGCATGTTACCTCCTGTCGTCTGTTGTGATGTTGTGCCCTTGTTTGTTTCTCTTGGCACCTTGGAGTGGGTACAGTGCTGGGGGGGGCGACAGGAAGAATGTGGCCCTGATTATGTGTACGCCAACTCAGGGTGTGTGGCAGCCAGCTGGCTGTGTGTCTTGTGAGCTTGTTTGTGTCTGTGTGTCGCTCGTGCGTGTCGTCATCATCTGTCTAGCGTCCACCCATACCGCGTTGGTGTCCAGCCCGAGCCTGGCTGTTCTTCACCTTTCTACCTACCTACCTACTTGAGCGTTTTCTGTCTTTATTATACGAACGTACCGAAAATGTTTCTTAGTGTTTTTGTGTGAGAGCGATGTGAGCAGATTTTCAATGTACGTGTATGTGGCTCTCACGTGCATTCCCGTAGCGGCCCGCGTCGGAGGACTTTTTGCTGTTAGGCTGACTATACTTTTTTCCCTCTCGCACCCCGTCTCCTTTCCGTTCCTTTTTTCTCTGCAGCACCCTCTCTTTTCCTCGTCTCTATTTTCCCGGGGAAACCATCAAATTTTCCGGGCTGAGTCAAGTCTGAGGCTGGTTTGGGCCCAAAATCAGCCAAATCGGCAAAATACCGGGTATTTTGCGGGTAATGTAGAGACGATTTAGGTTTGGGGAGGGCGCGAGTGGGAGACTTTTCGGCGGTCGAAATGCGGCGGTCTGGATGCGTCCTCTTTTGGACGACCCTGTGGGACGACCTGGTGGGACGACCTGTGGCAGCGATCGATGCCGTCACCGGACGCGGCGGCGAGGCACACGGGCGCCGGCGTGGCGCGTCGGCAGGCCCACCACGAGCGGATGCGCGACGAGCGCGCTCGGGAAGCGGCCGCGGGCGACGCGGAGCTTCCGGCTTCCGCCGGAGGACGACGCGGTCGAGATAATGGCGAGCGCCGTCCACGTGCTCTACCCGCAATACCTGGAAATACCGGGTATGTTGCCGGTTTCCTCGATTTTGCCTCAGTGCTCAGATACAGATTTTGCCCCAGACCAGCTCTCAGACTCAGGGAAACTCGCGAGTTTCCAGAATGAAGCTCACCAAACACCTCTGTTTTCCTTGGAAATTTCCGGAAACGCAAAGTAAGTGCTGGGCCCCCTCTGTTTTCCTTTTTGTTTGCCGGAAAAGTATATGCAGGCCACAACTCTGCTGACAGGGTTTGAGAGATTTTTAGAAGCCAACAAGAAATGTGGCAGTGGCACACACAGTGATTTGGGCTCGGCAGCTTGTCGACTACCAGCCGAATTCTCTTCTCAGGGTTTGCGATGAGGAGCGACCCGAAATTTAGATGTGATCAAAAGAAATGTGATCAGAAGAAAACTGTTTTCGCTGGCTTTTCGAAGAGAAAAAGAAAGTTGAAAAAATCGTCTTGTCCTTTCGCCTGCGGAAACGTTTAGCTCTCCCTAGATGTCCCCAGCCGGAAGCTCCGACGAGTTGCCACCTCCAGTGCAGCTCGGACCTGCGCACCTGCGCATCTTCGCTATGCCGGAGACCCCCAAGGGCAAGGCTGCGGAGACGGACTGGGTGCCCCCCCCCCCCCCCCCGCGCCCCCCCCCCCGCCCGCCCTACGCGCCCGAATCGCCCAACCAAGCACATCGGCCCGCACCCCACCGGGCGAGGACTGTCTCACGCCGATAAGCGAGACTCCAACGCCGGCCAAGATCAAGAAGGTGGGCAAGGACCCGGTCTTCGGCGACAGCGTCGAAGACGAGGTGTTCTCCCCGCTCCCGGCCGCACACCCCACCCACCGCCCTGACCCCGCACCGTTCCATCAGCACACGGTCGCAACAACAAAACAAATGTATTGCTAAAAATCTCTCTCACGGTCGAGTGCACCGTGGATCCGAGCAACGGCGTGTCGGCGTCGTCTTCACCACTGACTGCACTGTGGGCGGTGCTGCCGAGCCATGTATGTGCGTGACGTACTACGGAAGCACTTGATCGCAGTCGCAACGCATATCCAGCTTTTCGGAAAAAAAGCTCCCCGGACTGGCGCACGCAATGGCCTCCGGCTGTGCGTGCGGCGGCTCCTCGTGGTCCCGCGAGGAGAGCCTCGGCATCACGCTCACGGTTCTGGGCGGCATGCACTACGGCTACAACCTCGCCATACCAGCCGTCGCCGCCAAGGGCATCGCCGCATCGCTCGGGCTTCACATAGACGAGGGCTACCTGACCTCAATCACGCTCCTCGGCGCGCTGCTCGGCTCTCCGCTAGCCGGCGCCGTGGCAGAGACCAGCGGCCGCCGGATGTCCACCATTCTGGGCGAGTCCCTCTCGGTGCTCGGCGCGGTCGCGTGCTCGCTCGCTTCGTCGCCCACGACGCTGGCCGTAACCCGCTTCGTCGTCGGCTTGGGCGTGGGCTTCTGCACGCTCTGCAAGCCGCTCTACATCTCGGAGACTGTGCTCTCCGACAGGCGAGGCACGGTGCTCGCCCTCTTTGCGCCCAGCGTCGCCGTCGGCATCCTCATCGCGGAGGCCACACCTCTGCTGCTTCCGGCGGGCGCCGCGGAGAGCCCGATCTCCGTCGCCACCGGCGCCTCAAACGCCTCCCTCGTCGGCGCACCGGCGCCCGCGGCGGCCGTGTCTGCCGCGTGGCGGCTGCAGGTTGCGTCGGGCGCTGTGCTCCCCGCCACTCTGCTCGCCATCGCCGTCGCCGCGATGCCCGAGTCTCCCGCCTGGCTCGCCATGCGCGCGTCTGGCAGCGACGGCGGCAGCGGCGCGGGTCCGCGCGAGGGCCCTTCCGACGAGCTACTGGCCGAGGAGCCGGGCGCACTGGCGCTGCTCGGCTCGGGCAGCGCGCGGCGGGTCGCCTTCCTCGCGACGCTCCTCGCCTTCGCGCAGCAGGGCACCGGTGCGGCGGGGGTGATCCTCTTCCCGAAGGAGCTGGTCGGGTCGGCGGTCGAGCTGGCGGGCGCGCCGCAGCCGTCCTGGGCGCTGCTCGTCGTGCCCGCATCGAATTTGGCCGGCGCAGTTGCAGGCACCGCCCTCATCGGCGCCGTTGGCTGCCGGCGCGCCATGCTCGGCGGGCTGAGCGGCATGACGGCCGCCACCCTGCTTCCGCTGCTGCTGCCGCGGCTGCTGCCGCCGCCCTCCGCGCCGATGCTCGCCGCCCTCCTCGCCAGCTTGGGCGGGTGGGCCATCTTCTTCCAGCTCGGGCCCGGCTGCAGCTACTTCGTCGCCGTCACCGAGGCGGCACCGCCGCGGCTGCGGGCCCTCTCCGTCAGCCTCGGCAACAGCGCGCGCTACTTCCTCGAGCTGCTCGCCATCCGCTACTTCGTGCAGGTGTGGGGCGCCGCGTCCCACGCCTCCCTCCTCCTCGGGGTCGCCGCCGTGTCTGCGCTCTGCGCCCTGCTCCTCCAGCTGCACCTCTCCGAGTCGCGCCACCCGTCGGGAGGCATCGACCTATCCGCCACATGGCGCTCGTCCGGCGCGGAGCAACTGCCGCGCGGCGCTTCCGGGTACACCTCCGCGCCCGCCGCCGTCGCCGCCGCCGCCACGCCGCCGCAGAGCGTGCGTGTGCACGGCGGGGGGGGGGTGGAGGGGCGGGGCATGGAAGGGCGGGGGATGCGCTCTAGCGGGAGCGCGCCCTCGCTGGCGACGCCCAACGGCTCGCTCGACGCTCTCTTCCCGCCGCTCGCGCGCACGCTCGGCCGCCTCTCCGCCTCGCGGCCGCCGTCCTTCCTGCTCGACCTGTTTGCAGAGGCGGGCGGCTCCGAGAGGGGCAGCCGCGGGTACAGCCCCGCAGGAGGGACGCCCCCCCCCGCAGGGGAGCTCTCCGTCACCGTGGCGGCCGCGGCCAGCGAGGATGCCGACGAGCCATACGCTGTCGAGGGGAGCTTCGCAGGCCGCGCCCACCCGCGCTGCCGCCGCCGCTTCTCGTCCTTCGAGACGCTGCTGCAGCACCTCGCCGCGTCGGGGTCGATCCTCGTTTGCTCGACCGCGGTGCGGCTCACGCCCGCCGCGCAAGCCTGCATCGAGGGCTGGAGCAGCCGGCTCGGCTACGAGCACGCGGCCGCGGGAGCCGCCGGTCACGCGCCGCTGCTGCAGCAGCTGGTCGACGACTTGCTGCAGTTTCAGGAGCTGAGGGACTCGGACCTGCTGCATGCCTTTGTATTTGACGATTGACGATGGTGGGGGAGGTTATAGCCGCTGTGGCCTGTGGTGGCGCGCCGTTACGGTATTGGCGTTGGCGTTAGCGTTATATTACCCAAGGCCTATCCGGCTCTCGGCCAATTCGACACGGGCCCTCCTGTGCCCACGGACGCCCATCGCACCCCGAGAAAATGAATCTGAACGTAACACGTCTCGCTGGGGCACGCGCGCGGGCGGTCGTGCGGGCGCTGGCTCCAGGCGAGCCGCGAGCCCGCGAGTGGCGCGAGAACCACGACGCACGTGACATACACACTCACACACGAGATTTGTGATTTATCAATCCCGGGGGGCGTTAGTGAGGGCAGGACGCGCTCGTTTGTCATGCGCGACACGCATGGTGCCGCCGCTGCCTCGTGCGCGCTTCTTCTTGCCCGCGCCCCTCGACGTGAGCGGCGGGTGCGGCTCTGCGCGCGTCTCGAGCACGCCCTCCGCCCAGCAACCGGCGAGCATCTGCTCGACGACGGCCGAGGATCCTTCCACCACGTCCTCGCGCGCCAGCCACTGCGGGTACGACGCTGTGAGCTGAAGGAGCGCTGGAGCTGCCTCGGGGGGGAATGTGAGCCTAGTTGCGGCCAGGGGACCCCGCGCGCCCTCCTCGTCGCCCTCCTCCTCGTCTTCCTCGTCCTCCTCGTCCTCCTCGCCCTCCTCCTCCTCCGCGTCACCCTCCTCGCCCTCCTCACCCTCCTCGCCCTCCTCACCCTCCTCGCCCTCCTCCTCGTCGCTGCCCCCTTCCTCCGCCTCGTCGCCGCCCATGCCCGCAGCGCCCCTCGGCCACCTCATGTGGTCCTCGCGAGCGTTGCCCACACAGTGCTGCAGCTGCACAAAGCCTCCGCCCCGCACCAGCCGGCGGTGCGCAGGGTCGCAGAGGCGGAGGAGCGTGCGCGAGCCACCCGCGGGCGGAGGGCCGTGCGGCGGCGGGGCGAGGGCTGGCGGCGGGAGCCGGTTGCAGTAAAAGTCCGTTGCGAGCTCCTCCGTCGCCTCCTCGATGGCGGCCGGCGTCGCACGCCGCAGCAGCGCGCGCAGCGAGCGAGCGACCACTTCGCCAACCTCTCCGCTGCCACGCGCCCCTCCCCACGGCGCGTCGGCCGCCTCCTCCTCCGGCGGGGGCGTGAGCAGGCAGCCGAGCGGCAATCCAGCCCGCAGCTGGCGCGAGAGCGAGCCGCGCCCCTCTGTGGCGGTGCCGAGCAGGCTGTGCAGCAGCGGCGCGAGGACGTCGGCGTAGGTCTGCCTCTGGTAGGTGGAGACAGTGATGTGCGTCGAGCGGTGCTTGTCCGAGCACGCCGCCTCGTGCACGAAGCCGCGAGGCAGGTAGAGCAAGTCGCCTGGCCGCAGGGTCGCCCGAAGCACCCTCCGGCCGAGGCGAGAGCGCGGCAAGTCGCCAGACGGGCGGTGCGGCAGCTCATTGCCGGGCTCCGGCGCGTAGACGGCCCACGTCTTGCGCCCCTCGGTCTGCAGGATGAAGACCTCGACGTCGTCGTGGTGCGGAGCGAGGCCTTGCGAGCCCGCCGGGGTGAGGTAGACGGACGCTCCGCACAGGGCGCCAAACCGGCACTCGAGCGCTGCAAGCAGCGTCCACAGCCGGTCGCAGTACACCTGAGGCCTGAAGAGCTGCACGGTGTATCCCGCCTTCAGCTGTTCGGAGACCCAGGCGGCGCTGTAGCCACCAGCCGGCGGATGTGCCTCCGAGCGCCCTCCCTGCCCGCCGATCGCGCAGCGAACCACTCGCATGGATGAGCCAGCGGGCAGCGGCCCATGCTCCTGTAGCAGCCGGCGCAGCCTGGCGTGCGAGAAGAGGCGCGAAGGCTGGCCCACGTCACGCAGCGGAACCCGTGAAGGGTCGCAGGCAGAGCCGGAGCCCAGCCGATCAAAGTGGCTGCGGTCGGCGGAGCGGCGCACGAGGAGCGGCCTCCGCTCCCACGTATCTCGTGCGAAGATGGCGGGTGGGTGCTCCGGGCCGAGGAGCCACTCTAGTGCGTCAGCGGAAGCAGCGTCCGGCAGCATATACGCATATACACACACACACACACGCTCTCACGCGAGGAGGGCGGTGCGGCGGGCGAGTCGGGCCGCGCGGCGCTGCTGAGCTGCGGCTCCGTCGTCGAGCTCGCGACTGACTCGCAGTCTCGTCTTTGTACACACAAAAGAAACCCGCGGTGCACCCTCGCTGCCGCCTCCCTCTCCACCGCTAGCCTCGCCACCACCACCCAGCTCACCACCGCCGTCGCCGCTACCATCCGAACCTCTAAGAAACCCGCGGTTTTGGCCACCCTCGCTGCCGCCTCCCTCTCCACCGCTAGCCTCGCCACCACCACCCAGCTCACCACCGCCGTCGCCGCTACCATCCGAACCTCTGCTGCCCTCGCCGCCGGCACCGCACTCGCCATCGCCGCCCCCCCCTCGACCGCTGCCCTCTCCCCTCACCCCTGTATATACACGTGTGTATACACTCGAGAGAGAGTACTCGTGAGCCTGCCCCGCGTCCAATCTTTTTCTTAAAGAAAGTATCTAATACCAGCAGGAAGGAGTAGCGAGTACGCAGATGTGCAAGAGAAATAACGTGCACCTCCCGAACGAGCGCGGGAGCAACAGGGTCCGGGGCCGCCCCGCACGAGCAAGCGAGCACGGAGCAGCGCATGTCGCGGCAATGGGGGCGAAGTTTTGCACGACGCTGAATGATGGCGGAGAGACTCTAGTCCCTCAGGAGCAGGTCGTCCGCAGCCGCCACGCCCCCTCGCGCCTCGGAGCCATGCCGCCGCCGCCCCGGCTTACGAGGGCGGCGGCTGAGCCGTCGGCGGCGGCGCGCCGTACTGCGCCGCGTACGCGCTCCACTGCTGCGCCGCGTAGGCCGGATGCTGCGCATACTGCTGCGCGGCGGCGGGGCTCTGGCCGTACGGGTCTGGCGCGGCCGCGTACTGCCCGCCGTAGGCGGGGTACTGCGGCGTGGGCGGCGGCTGGTAGCTGTAGCCGGGCGGCATCGCCCCATACCCGGGCATACCGCCGTACCCTCCGTTTTGGTCGTAGCCGTACGAGGGGGGAGGCGCGTGCAGCGCCGGGGGCGGAGCGCCGTATGGCATCGGCGGCATGCCGCCCCGCGACGCGGCGCCGGGCGGCGGGCGGCTCGGGTCGACATAGCCGCCGGTCACCTGGCACACGAGGAGAGGGGGGGGGGGGGGGTTGAGCGAAAAGGGGGGGGGGGGGGGGTTTCCGGGAAGCCCAAAAGGCTTCCCCGTGCGGTGCCTTTTTTTTTTTGGGGGGCAAGGGGGGGCAGGGGGGGCAAGGCAAGCCCGGTTCCCCTGAAAGGAGGGCCCGGGGGAGGGGGGGGGGGGATAAACCCGGGGGTTTTCCCCCCTTTCTGTTGTATATGTTCCCACCGCAGGAAGGTAGAGTGGTGTG